AAACGCTCCAAAAAGCGCATTGACTCATCAGCGTCTCAATGTGTTCAGTGAGAGTTTCATTTTCTTGGTATCCCTGTCGGTCGGTACCAACAATGCTGAGGCGGCCCAAAAGGCTTCGTCGTACCCTATGGTATACCGTCGGATGCCTATAGCGTGCGCCCTCCACTTATCCTTCCAAACAGGCACAGATTATATATGCGGAAAGCTGCCGAACGGGATGCGCGCGCCTGTCAATTGCGATAGATGGACAGCGCGCACTATATTATTGCAATGGCTTGCTGCTGTTCGGGTTTCATTTGACGCTGGCTGTACAATTCGAGCCGGATTGTTGCGAATGTACCTGTTGCTGGAATTGAACGTCCCAAAACCACCAAATGATTTTATGGGAGACGCCGCAGTGGAGGGCTCCGTAAATTTCGATCATCTGGGGTGCTTAAAGGGATACTGAAAAAAATTTTTATCACCAAGATATTCAGTCAAATTCAAAGACTGGGCCCTGAAATCGATAGAGACCATTTTCACTCCAGGCATAAACTACCGCAAAATAATGAATTTATTGCGTTTTTCACAAGATGACGCGTTAGCAGCCACAGAGTGAGAGAAGGTGACGTTTGGTGACGTCACACACAACCGGAACGGATGAGTCAGCGATGCCAGCCATCACCCGCGTCTTTCGAGTCGCTTAACTCTCAGTTCGGTTCCTAAAACCGGCAAGAACCGGAACAGCAGCGAAAATGGTGGTAGGGGTTGAAAGAAGAAGGCACCTGATTTCTGCAGCCCGGTTGGGAGCGCCGCGCAGCGCCTTGCTTCCAACCGGAGCAAAGCATCAGTGCTGTTGTGGAAGGGAAAGAGCGTGATAAGAGATGTGAAGAAAAGGAAGGGGAGGACAAGAACACGTGCATCCTGCATGCTCCTCGGTCAGTGTGACGTCACGGCTTGTGCTCGCCAGCAGCCGTCGCGTGCTCACAATCCATCCAAAATACAACCAACTGTTCAAAAATACGAGAAGTGAACTCCGTTCATCGATTGATATATATGTAGGATTTAACGTCCCCAAACCATTATAAGATTATGAGAGACGCCGTAGTGGAGGGCTCCGGAAATTTAGACCACCTGGGGTTCTTTAACATGCACCCAAATCTGAGCACACAGGCCTCAAGCACTTTCACTTCCATCGAAAATGCTGCCGCCGCAGCCGGGATTCGATCCCGAGACCTGCAGTTCATAGAGGTTGCAAATGTTCGCAATAAGTAATTCACGTTGTTTCACAGACCAGGCTTTTCACACCTGCTACTATAGCAATGGCCTTTGTTTGATAGCCAAGCCTGGTTCACCACAGCAAAAGATGACAGTACAGTTTGTTCTGCATAGGCACGAACATAAAGCCTATCATGCATACTCGCGAATAACAGAGCATGTCTGCTGGCTGCGTAACAATAAGTATTATAAATAAATGGTTAATTTTGCTGCAAGTAGTCGCCAAGACGCTGTGTTCACCATGGCAATGAATGATTACATGAAAAAAGAAAAGCTACAGGAAAAGCGGCTAGGTTAGGTTATGCAGAAGAAAAAAAAAAGACATGCTGGAAACCAGCGTTTGTTTCTCAGTACACACAGTGATAAATACTACTGAACGACGGCTACACCAGCAGTATGTCCCAATTTCCTATACTTTTCGCAACCTTATGAGCCTTAAACAATAAATGCATTAGGGATTTTCTTTTGCCCTAAGTAACGCCGTATTAATGACCTGATAGGTCTCGTCCACAGTCGATGCCTGCGTCAGCTTGCAGTTTGGTTAATCGTCCGCTCATTCTACTATACAACCACTGAATAATCAAGGAAAGGTAGCTACAAGGTTTGATTTTTGCAGCCTTGCAATAACTCATTCTCTCATTTTCTCTTTATCCTAGTTTTCTTTCTTTCATTTTGTCTGTTTTGCCTTCGCTCGTTCCTGTCGTTTTCTTTTTTCTTATTACTTAGCATAGTACACGGCAGTAACTGCAGTAAGTCTTCTAAGATAGCATTATCGTTTATCAGGAGCAGCTCAGTTGCCTAAAAAAGCTGAAGCAGATTTCTGGCTTCACAGCGCTATCTCAAAAATGTGCGTCTGGGCACGTACTTTCGGCAGCAACTTGCCGAAGAACGCTTGAAGAGTTCGGGAACTTGTTGAGGTTAATATGCCGTACGCTGTGAGAAACATTCACAGGAGGGTGCTGTACATTTCCTTTGTGTCACCTCTCAAGAGACCGCTTCTCTTCATTGCAACTTTTTTTCCTCGTAAGAGTCAACCGCGCTATCGCCTCAGGGTTCACGTTACCGAACGCGCGTGGCTGTTGTCCTTCGCAGTGTTCTCACGGCTCCGTGTTCTTTGGTGGCCTTGGGAAGCTAAAGCCGGGAGTGGTGCGGCACTACTCCATTATACTGATCCCTGCAATCACGAACACCTAACGCACGCGAAAAACACGTCACGCCTTTTGTTTTCTCCTCCGCTGTACACAGCAGCTAACAGCTTCGCTGACGCCACGACAAGTTGTAGGTGGTGAAAAACAAGCAGGTCGGCAGACATGCACAGTGCAGAAGTCGAACACGCTGCAAGAAATATTCGTATATCAAAAACAAACGAGGAAAGAGTAAAACAAACTCAGAAACTGTGAGCGAGGCATATTTCGTATCGATATATTTTTTTTTGGTTTGTGACTTGTCTTTTATACGGCTTTAATACATGATTTGTAAGCTCATTTATGTTATCACCCTTGCAGCACGGACAATTTTTTTGCTTTGTTTTTATCGTATCGCTTTCTTTACGCGTTGGGTAGTGAACTAACCTCAGTGCTATTCTTTCGCCGCGCGCCCATACTCTCTCCAGCTGTGTCTCGTTAAATAATCGCGCTTGGCGAGAATCCGGTTTCAGCCATAGAATATTCTCCCAATCATGCCCATGAAGTATGACGACTCGTGAAGCGATCGAGATCATGGTAGTTAGATTCACTGCCAGATGGCAAGGTGAAAAGTAGCCGTGGCTTTCATTTTCAAGTGTGGTTTTCGTATGAGGGGAAACAATTACAGTTAAGGGGGAGCTATCAGTTTCGCCGTGGGGAAAAGTTTCATGGCAGTGTAACTGACACGCGTATGATCAGAACAAGAAGAGACCACTGCAACGTGTTCCGATTTCTTTTTCGCACTGAGATGCATTCCTCTGTCGTGCCCCTTTTCTTTGTCGTTCTCACGGGTAGCGAAGGGCTGATACCAAAAGCCGGACTTTCTCTGGATCCTCGTGCAACGTGTTTGCGGCCGAGAAGTCGGGTTTTCCTACGCGTGCTTAGACTGTTTTCATGGAAGTTATCGTGGAGCGTTCTTACGACTTCAGTCGAGCGCAAAGAACATAAGACCCAAAGAAAAGAGTGACAGGCACGCCATTCAGCAAGGAAAAAAAAATCACGTGTTCCGAGGCACTAATGGAACATTTAAGCTTCTGTGCAGGGTCCATCACAATTGTGAAGCGCTGTAAAGAAGTTCCTCGAGCGTTAAGGGAAAACAAAATTGTGAAGTGGCTGACGCAGAAAAGCTAAGAAAACCGTCGTTGCTTGTAACCACACACACACCACACACAAATAAAAAAATAAAAATAACGCGATGTTTTTGACACGTTAGCTAAGACCAGTGATGAGTTCTTCTACGGAAAAGCGAAAACTCGCTGCTTCTGTTCTTGCAAATGAAACTCATTTGTCGACAAACAGATGATCTTTTGTTTGTTTGTTTTTTTTTTGCCAAAGGAGAACTTATCCTGTCTGAGTGGAGAAACAGCCACTCAGAAAGGAGACACGCACTACAGGTGTTGATACTTTAATAGACATATTAAGGGTGTTTGGATGTCGCATGGCTAACAGGCCGGAGTTTAAGGGTAAGTTAGAATCATAGCAAATAAATTCGATGTGCTTGTTTAAAGAGTTATCATTCCAAGCAAAACTGACTTCGCCTGTGAATAGAATACAAAAAAAGTGCGACAGATAACGTTTATTCTCGTGCTCAGGTATTTCTATGTACTGACGAAGACAGACAGATTGAGTGAGTGGGTGCATTTTCACAATAAAAATATGAGACGGCGCTTAACACACTGAACGAATAAAAAAGGTGACGCACATGGCAACGAACACGAAGTCCTGAGCGTAAAACAATGTTTTACATGCTTTATTTTTTATCATAAATTTCTATGTACTATGCCAGCTGGACAGGAACGCTGCAAGCTTCTCAACAATGCCATTCCTTGTCGTACTTCTAATTAAGCTCACTATCAGTTTAGCTAGATTGTTTTAAAATATGCAAGCCATAGCATAACAAAGCACCTTTTACGGTACATATAATTTTAAAGAGCGAGTCTTTTCTGACGGCATTCATGCTCCGTACGTATCTCGGTTCTGGACAGTGCAAAAGTGGAGCTCATGACCGAATATTAAACAGGCCTCACCTGATATGACGAAGAGGGCAGATCTGGCAGTTTATGCAAATTGTTGGTGGCGTTGCTCAGCCTCCGCTCATGTAGAATGGAAGTGTCATGCCCGAGCCACACCGGTTACTCCTCTTCTGGAAGAGCCACTAAACTCTCTCCTTCAAACGCAGCACCTATTGCACGGGCAAAAAAAAAAAGGAAGTTGCATGTGGCTGTTTTTTGATTTCATGCTAAAAATTACTACATACACACAGTCAGAAGACGGAAAGCAATCAATTATTGCTTCCAGTAATAACTAATTGCTTCATCCCAGTGACAGTATTTCAGTCCTCTCGCAATTCGACAGTGTGTCAGAGGGGTGAAAGCATGGCCTCTTATGGTTGGTTACTGCTTAAGTGGCTCAAGAAGCATTAGGTATACCCAAATAGGCAAGCCAAATGTTTGGGTTGCGTCTTCAATATTTGTTCAGTATTGTATTAAGTGGCTCAGCTCGTGACTATACTGAACCAAGCACGCCCGTTCATATTTTGTGTTCTTCCTTCGCTTTCAGAACGACCTGTACGAGTGGACGCGTGACCACCGGGTGCACCACAAGTTTTCGGAGAGCAATGCCGACCCTCACAACGTGAACCGGGGCTTCTTTTTCGCGCACGTGGGCTGGCTCATGTGCAAGAAGCACCCGGACGTGATGCGCAAGGGCAAGGCTGTGGACTGCTCGGACCTGCTCAAGGACCCCGTCATTAGGTTCCAAAAGGCGTACGTATGCAGCCTCACTCGTCGCTTTTTCACACACAAGTGTCATTACTATTGAACTCGAAGAACAGCGGGTCGCAAGCGGTGTAAACAAAAACAGGAAATAGTTTAGAGAAAAAAAAAACACGGGCGCTTGATGCGTTCGTACGACCCCGACTCCACGACGCGTAATAGTGCGGTAAGACATTAGACCTGAGCGCGCAACGTGATCGTAGACGCACACCACAGGCGCGAAGTCGAATGCGTTACTGAGTCAGTGTTTTGCAGCCTGATGTGCATTTCGTATGCAGATTACGTGTTTGTGTAACTTGTTTGCATCGTTCTTGCTGCACGTGCTAGAAGATGAAAAGTCTAAAAACTTACTAATGATGTTACTTAGTATCTCATACTATGCGACGAAAATTGAGCTGGTTGGCATACATTCGTCTTTAGTTGGAACAGTAATAACATATCCGTGGATGAAAATTTTAAAAATACCCAGGACGAGCCTTTGCCCGGTGTATTTCCTGATTTTCATCCTGGTATATGTTAGTGCTGCACCAACTGAAAGATGACTGTAGGTCATGTACGCCTTTTGTGGTGATTTTTTTTTTCGTTTGCATTAAGGCAACTGTGTAGAGTATAATTGATTTTTACCCCCTTAAAAGTAAAAAAAACAACTATCTGAGTAACATATCTGCTTCTGCCTATGCACAGCGTATTCAGAGACACTAGAGCATTTGGTTTCGTGGTGGTGGGATCTCCTATGGATGATATGCCCCTTCTAAGGACTCTATAGATTCTTACCTACAATGGGGAAATAGGTGCACAGTCATACATGCAGGCAACAACAGAGGCGTATGAAACACGACATTAAGCACATTTTCTTACAAGCGGACATTTGATACGATCTTGCGAAATGCATCTGCTGGAACAGTTCTGACCTCCTAGTGAGCTTTGACAGCATGTGCACACTTGCATGGTCCGCTGCAACAGCACTGGTCGGTCGGACGCTATGTCGGGATGTGCCTCCTTATAGTTATATTATGCTATGTACACTGATCCATATTAAAACATCGTAAAATGGTCTAACGGGACCCCGATACACAATCACAATCACTAACTATAACTTGATACTCACATTTACTCAACCAGCTTCTCCAAAACTGTGTCATACACACTTGCACAACAACGTACTGTACTTAACTCATCACCTATGCAAGCTTGTATGTCACAAGAAAACATTAAGAACAGCGAAGCAGTAGACTCATTTCAAGATACGTGGACAAATATGCAGCTTATCACTTTTATAGCTATAGAAACAATGTTAATGAGAACTTACAGACAATTATGCCAAGAAAAATATAGGGGAGAATATCACAATCAGAAATGCTTTTATTTTCCAACGAAATTGTTGGAAGTCCTTCAGGCGAAAAGCTGCATAGTACAGCTTGAATGTGCCTGAAGGCCCTCACATGGCAGCAGTAACACTAAAACCAACATAAATAAAGATGTCTAGCATATATCCAAATATAATACACTATTTTAATTGAAACTAGGAATTTGCAACATGTTGAATAACCCTAGTAATTTCCTGCAAACACATGTTACTTAAAAATAACATTGAAATGTAATACATATGTGAGAAGAGATGTGACAATACATTGTGATACATCAGAAACAATAGTATTTACAACACTAAGAAAAGCACTGCGATAAATATGACTATGATGCACAATATGATGATACTTTGTGTATTGAAACACTGAGTGCGAAGTAGATAATACAACAGAAAATGAGGAAATGTAATAACGATGTCTTTTGTATGTTCATTCCGATTTACAAAAGTATTCTCTAATTTGTTTTCGAGTCAAAGTATTCTATCTGAAGTAAGTATTTGTAATGCAAATGAGAAGAAGAAAAGTTGATGACAAGATAACTTGCCGTGGGCAGGAACTGAACCTGTGACCTTCGAATAACGCACCCGGTGCTTCGAATCAGGCATTCCTACCCACGGCAAATTATCTTTTCATCCACTTTTATTTCTTTATATATACAATACTATTGCCTCTAATATCACCCACACTTTCCTTGCCATAATTTTCTGTCAGTTATAATTATTATTGTATTAAAAAAAGAAACAAGCCCTCAAGTATACCCTTCTTCCGTCATAGACGTAGAGAAATTCATAATAAAGACACCACGTTTCCCACGTGTGAACAGTAATAAAGCAATTCTGTTATACCGCAACGGTTATTTGACAATACTCGCAAATACAGTCATCCCCCTTTATAAGAGACACTGATATAAGAAACAAATGGGTATAAGAAAATACCAGTTGGTAAGAAAATGCATACGAAGTACCCTGAATTAAGAGACATCTCATATAAAAGACAAAAATCGCTGTCCGGAGCATGCCTCTTATGAAGGGCTTTAACTGTGTTGCCATGCTCAAGTGGAGCGCTTGCTGACATTGACGTAAACATAATACCTCACTTACATGGGCACGCTAACCTGAAATAAAATGTATAACTTTTAAAAAGTCATGCCATAGTGAAGTTCTGAGCCTTCTTAAACGGGTTCCCCCATTTTGTAACCTTTGTTCGGAGGAATCATGGTTAGCGGTATAACCGCAGTCAGGTTTTCCGTGCAACCGGATGAAAATTTGGTTCTCAGGAGCTCAAGGTAGTACATCGCAACTGAGGTTAGGGAGCCCATCTAACTACTACTTGATATAACACTGCTTGATGAAACGCCACCGCCATGTTAGATATTCGATATTCACTCCCGATTTAGAAGAGTGCTTCTTTTTTCAGGGCTTGGGACCTGCATCAACGCAGGGCGTTGTAGTATTCATTGCCACATATTGGTCATAGGTTATGTTGTACTTCGTAGCTCTGCAAGTTTGCAGTTTATTGCAGAAACGTGTTGAGTGACTGATTATACACCCGTTCAGGGAACATAGACGAAATAACTCCAGAACGTCGACGCTAGCACAACTACATTTTCAACCCGTTGTCTCACAGTTTCCTCTACGAATCACTGCTTCTCGCTTTCTCATTCAAACAGGTACTACGTACCTCTGACTACCTTCTTCTGCTTTTACCTGTCGACCGTGCTGCCGCACCACCTGTTCGGCGAGAGCTACTGGGTGGGCTTCTTTGTCGCCACCATGCTGCGCTACGTGATCTCGCTAAACTTCACCTGGCTCGTGAACAGCGCGGCCCACCTGTGGGGCAACCGACCTTACGACAAGAACATTTCGCCAGCCGAGAACCGCTTCGTCTCGTGGGCTGCCATCGGCGAAGGCTTCCACAACTACCACCACACGTTCCCCTGGGACTACTCGACCAGCGAGCTCGGGTGGAAGCTCAACTTCACCACGTTCTTCATCGACACCATGGCCAAGCTCGGGCTCGCCTACGACCTGAAGACGGTGCCTAAGGACGTAGTCGAGAAGAGGAAAGCCCGGACGGGCGATCACAGCTACGACTACATGAACGGGCACAAGCAGCACCACTGACGACGAACCGATGTGCGCTTGGTCAGCCGGCCGAGCCCGCGTGAAAACGTTTGCGCGTTTGCCGCGTTGGTACGCGGGTTGCCATGATATACTGTTCTCGCATCGCGGTTGCTGTTTTTTTTTTCCGGCTGGTACTGCAACCTTGTTCGTCGACACAGGGCATCATCGGTAGCGACAAGACCTATGTCTACTGGAGTGCCTACATACACTCGTCAAGAGGAACATGCTGCACCACTTTTGATATTTTGTTTGCATTCATTTCCGTCGTTATCCCTTAGATTATAGCGATGAACAGCGAAGCCCCAGCTGCATGCTGTCTTCTATGCATGAATCAGATATGCTGTGATGATGTGGTTGCTGTTATTAAATCGACCTGAACTGGAGTCAGAGGGGAACTTGTATCATGTCCACAAGACGGTAGCATTGAAAGGTTTCTGAGAGGAGTGAGCTATTTATAAAAAAAGAGAGGACAGGCGGACGCAATTTATGAAAGTCAAAGGGGAGAAACACGATCGGAACCAATGACGCTTCTGCCTTATGAACTGACAACAAGTGAGAACAGCATTGAGCGAAGAGGTTGCATAGGTATTCAAACTTTGATGGAACGATTATCTTGCAGGATCAAAAACGTCCAACACTGATACCACCTGAACGCTTTGAGCACCATGCAATATGCTTGAGCACTACACCGTGATAACTAAGCATAGAAGACAGCGTGCTTAGGCAAATTATTTTTATTTGTTTGTGCATTTGTGTACGTGCTTATCTAAACGTCGAGTAGTGCTTGTGCCGATGGCAAAGGGTATGCAACTGTTTATTCTTGCTCAAAACTTCATGAACAAATGAAAGGACATGATTAATGTCCTCAATCTCACCTTTTTGAAAAACAGTAAAAGCTACTTAATTGGAACTCGAAGAAGACTACATAATTATTTGAATTAAGCCGAGTTTGAATTAGTGGGCGGGCGATAGAAAGAACAGGCATCGTGCCACACTGCGCTGACAGAACCTAAAGTAGCCACCTCTGGACTTGTTATCGTGACTTAGGCGCTACCTTGTGTGTGGTAGGTGGTTTCATGAATCAGGTTCATGGACAACAACAAGAAAAAAAAAAGATTGATCTGTCAGTGATATGCCAGTAAGTAGCTCCCATGTGAGCAGTAAGCCAATAATGTCGAACTATACTAAAACAAGCGTGCACAAATAAAAAGAATTCAGTAATTTGGATTTGCTTGTGGTTTTGTCACGACCTCATGAGCATCGTTTTCAGGTTGGGTCCACAGAGTAAGAATTATCCTGTGCAGAAAAAAGTTGCTGTTGTGTTGTTTTGCATCTCTAGTAAATTTGGTTTGGTTTGGTGTGGTTTTGCAACACATTGTGATCACTCAAGGCCTGCTTCTGCGAACAGCGATGAAAACCAGTGGCTCCCAGTTCGAATTAACCATTGTGGACACCAACACGTTCAAATTATCCGGAGTTTTTTTCCATAGATATACACAAGCCTGAACCAAAACCAGGGATTCAGTTCAAATTAACTAAATTTAAATTAACAGAGTTTCAACTAACGAGCTTTTACTGTAAAACCACACATACACACATGCGTGCACACGCATGCATGCCCACAAGTACACGCACAATTTAAACAGAAATATATATCTGAACTTCTGATACTGTATTACGTCCTTGTTTACGAGTGCTAGCAATTCAAGGCACATTTGTTTGGCTATAAACTCCGCTAGCTATGCTTTTCTCGTTCTGTCTTTTGGCACATTACTCCGCTCATTCCTATTGCCAAGCTTATTCTATTACGTGTAGCATGACGTATACCTTCTTATCCTCTAGTTGCGTAAATAGGCACACCAGGAAATTGAATAGGTAACAATGCGTGCGTAATCGTTAAACCCCTCCAAAATTGTGAGGTAAGTGTCTTCTATATGCAGAACTAGAATAATGGCGCTTAGACTAGCATTTATAACGTGCAGCCCAAACTCACAATTTTCCTGTTGTTCACGCTTTGTTGTTCGCCTTGTTAGCAGCTCTAGTTATGTTCTCCTTTATTCCTTCGCTCGCTCAGCCTGGCGCTTGTTATTTTCAGCGTTTCCCTCTTATTGTTGGGCAACGTTCTCTGAAAACGTGCGCAGCACTATCGCGTGTTGTAAATACAGTTGATGCGTGATTTACTGAACCAAGATCATATGTTTGTACATACCGAAAGTGTATAAGAGCGGAGAAATAGTTTGAATTTTTGACTGTGCCTTGACGGGCTTGAATGTGTAAAGAAAGCTTCACAGGGCGCTGAGCTGCTCACGTAAAGCCGAGGTCTGAATAAAGAGATAACATTCAGTCGTGTGTCGTTTCTTTGGCCTTCACAGATGAGACGAACCTCGAACAACATAGCTGAAAGTTGATCGAGATTTGTCGTTCTATAAGGTCGTATTGAACATTTACGCATGCATTTACACGTATTTAGTACAGTGCACAGGTACTTCGGATATGTTATATTGTGGCATAGAGACCTGCGATCAGACAGATGCACGTAACTAGCGGAAATTAAACTATAGAATTACAGCAAGTATACTCTCTATTCAATGCTAGGGATTTTGCCTGATATAACTTGTTTGGTCTAGCGGAAGAGGTGTAAAGCTCTTGAGTTATGTTTCCGTGTGTCTCTTTACCGCTTCTTAGTTGCGATGTGCTGAAAAAAAGAAAAAGCAAAAAAGTGTTATTGCAAAACTGTTCTGACCTTTATGATTTGCTTCATTATTTGTTACCTTTGATTGATTGATATGTGAGCTTTACCGTCGCAAAACTACCATATGATTTTGAGAGACACCATAGTAGAGGGCTCCGGAAATGTCCATCACCTGGGGTTCTTTAACGTGCACCCAAATCTGAGCACATGAGCCTACAGCATTTTCACCTCCATCCAAAAAATACAGCCACCGCCGCCGGGATTCAATCCCGCGACCTGCGGGTCAGCAACCGAGTACCTAAGCCACTAGACCACCACGTCAGGGCTATTTGTCACCTTTACATCAGTAACCAAAAGCTGGTGGAACAAGAAAAGCAGGCTAGTGCACTAAAGACGCCTGATGCTACTACCAATCTATGACATATTCGGACAATGATTGTATGGTTACGGCCGCTGGATGAAAGAGTGAACTCTTTCATCCAGCGGCCGTGGTGTGGTAGTCAGTGTCGACGGTCAACTAATATTAATGCTCGTAAGCATACATGAACGCTTACACCTGCGTCCATGCATTTAGCCTCGCGTTACTAAATTAGTTTGTCTCTATCTTTTTTAGCCTTTTTTGCCCACCTTTCACACGTCAAAATTTGATGCGATTTGACTTGATGATGTTGATTACAAGGGCTTATGAAATCGACAACTTTATAATAACAAAACAAAATTAGCATGAATTTGTCCAACTATTTGTGTTCATGGCTAGTTAAATGTAGATGTAAGCGTATATCGTGTCAATAGGTGGACATTGTTACCGCTTTTTGTGACGTAGAAAAAGACATGAGCACCTTCGACCATTGCACATAGCATGTTGAATTCGAAGCCTAGAAGGAACATGTCTGTCACACCAAAGCTGTTGCATTGTTGAACTTGACAGCAAGCGATTGATGAAAATCTCGTAAATGTAGATATTGTTTCCACCGTTCCTTTTGGTAGTGCAGTTCGGATTTATAACAGTGTGGTCACAACCCGATAGCTCTATTTGTGGCGTGTTCCGCTCGGTAAAGCATAAACTGTTTTATCGGGCAAGTAAGTCTTGTCTCCTAAAGATTAAATGAGACACCGTGTCATTCACAGGCGGATGCATATTAACAGTAGTGGTATGCTGTTTCTAACAAGGCCATTGCACAAGCATGGTCAAAATAGCCGGGATAAGTACTGGTGTTTAGCGTAAGAGACGCGAAATCAGAAGTGCAGCTGAAAGCAAGCGTGTGAAAAGTTGAAATTACGTATTCCGGCCAGCTGTCTGTGGTAATAACTATTATAAAAATGCAAAGATGACCTGCATGTAGCTAGAATTAAAAGAAACATGACTTACTTCTCTGACACGCGCGATGAAACGCCGCGACACCAAATGCCACCATTTAAAAACTGTAGTGGAGGACTACAGAAATTTTGAGCGGTTGGGGTTCTTTGAGCTGCCCTCGAATTTGAGCACGCCGGCCCACAGCATTTTCACCCCCATCGAAAATGCAGCCATCCCAGCCGGGATTCAGTCCCGCGACCGGCGGGTCAGCAGCATATTACCTTAGCCACTATACCACCGCAGCGGGGATGGCCGAATGCACTGCAAGCGAAAATACGATAAAGTGTGTCTTAGGAAGCTTCTCCGACAATCAATTTCGTTCTTTGTGACAATGCTCTCTTATCATATCGTCCCGCCAATATGGCGTTGCAATGCGCGATGTGCTACCATAAGCGCTGCTAGCAATGCAACGGGAATGTTTGCCTTTGCCGCATTTATGGACATTGCTGTTCCTAATGTGGCACCATTGAAATGTTGTAGGCCCGTGTGCTCAGATTTGGGTGCACGTTAAAGAACCCCAGGTGGTCGAAATTTCTGGAGCCCTCCACTACGGCGTCTCTCATAATCATATAGTGGTTTTGGGACGTTAAACCCCACATATCAATCAATGTGGCACCATTTGCGTATCGGAAATTCCTCCAGATATACGTATATGTTTAGCCTTTCCTGCTTGCACAAAACAAAAACATAAATTGGAGGCAAACTTAAGCATGAACAACTACACTCTTCTCGAAGCGTGTTTGTTCCTGCACAGCTTGCCACGTTGTGATAACGACCATCACTTTTATGCACCCCTGATGGTTACGAATATACCCTGAGGGATACGAATAAAGTCATTTTTCTAGACAAGGTTAGAGTTAGTGTATATGTTACATTTATGATACCTTTATGTATTATAAACAGTGAGGAGGAGGAAACAAGAGGGAAAAGGAGGCAAGTGACGGGGGGGGGGGGGCGGTGCTAGGTACTATCAACGTGGATTAGCTTTACTATATATGCTACCTTTAGGTAACAAGGTTTGGCCGACTCCAATAGAACTCGCAGCAAGAGCACCCATTCGCCAAGCGTGCTCACGTGCACAAAAAAAAATTGTTAAGGGAAAGTCAGCTTCACGGTTGTGAGTGTGCCGCGCAACCATAGTCCCAAACAGGCCGGCGATCCGACAAAGCAATGAATGTTTCTCGTTGGTGCTGCGGTGGTGTTTTGTATTGTCTGTTTTTTTTTGTGATAGCAATTATATGGGCACTCTCCACTGGATTTCGCGCCGGCGTCGGCGTCGCCGTCACTCACCGTATATTTGTAACGTATCTATATACATGAAAATGCAAGAAAGAAAATTCTGAAAATAATGCGAAGCGTTAACCACTGAGCCACCGGGGAGCACGTTGGTCAACGTACCAAACGGCAAGCTATTTATATCTGGCAGTTACCGCTGGTGATGGGCATCTCGGGATAAGGTGGGCAAACTATCGCGTTTTCAGCGTTACCAGCAAGATGGCGCAATGAGCGCGTGGCGGCTAGGGAGCCTACATTTCCCACGCGTACTTTGCCTCTCAGAGTAGAGAAGACAGATGCTCGCTCACGCACCCATATCTCCCGGTGGGGACGAAAAAGCTGGCATTGGGCTTTCACTAGAACAATTCTGTTGTATTTACCAGGTACACAAAGGTAACTCAAATTGTTGCACAGTCTCCGTTTCCGAAACGGGTGCGCTTTTCAGACACAGCGAAGTAACAACTGAGACGCTTATTCTCATTCATGGGTACCTGTGAGTACGTTTAGTGCGCCATTCGTGCGTGAGAAACGTGGGGCGAGTTGGCTGTGAACCAGCTATATAGGACAGAGCCGCCTCAAGGTACACTATACGAGCACGTTTTAACATGCCCTGTTACACCTCGCACACGCAGAAACGCATGGTGAAAGCCATGCGACGCTGCCATCGCCTTTGTCCGATGTGCGTCCTGTTGTAGACACTTTGGAACGCGCAAGACCAGCGAAGATCGGGACATTTCGCTGAAAACTGCACCGCAGCGGGCGAGCAGCAATGCCAGCTATTATTCTCCGCTATGGTTTCCGCTATGTGGTGTGTGCGGTCGGCTACCTTCGCGAGATTGTGTTGTACAAAGGATAGACGCTGTCCGATGTGAAGTATGCCTGCAACGAGGAAGAAACAGCGTTACCTTTCGACGAGTGCCAAGCATTTCACGGTGTAAACTTACAGGTAAGTGTGTTGGAATTTCGTTTGAGGTAAAAAAGAATTAGTGCCTCAGGCAGCACTGTGGTAGAATTTCGCCCAGTGACTGCTGTTTTGTTGATTGACCGATTCATGTGTGGGGTTTAACGTCCCAAAACCACCATATTTTTGTGCTATATTGAGCAAGAACATCACTTTTTGTATTCAGAATTCAGAATTGAAATACAAGTGATACCAGTGCATGTGTTATGTGCAAATACAGAAGGAGGTCTCAAAGTCGCGAGACTGAGTGAGACCTCCTATAAAATCATACATGAGAGATACAACGCAATAGTAAAGAGTGGTAAGGAAAGAAAATTTAAGGCAGACAAAATGTACAGATAAGCACGAAATAGCGAACGTAAGTTATAAAAATGTACAGCTAAGCATGCAAAAACTAACACGAAAATGCAATAACATTCACTCTGCATAATATTAAGCATTATTACGGTAAGGATAGAAAAATTAAGATATACAAAATGTACAGATAAACACAAAATAACGAACATAAGTTATACAAGGTGTGCTGATGAGCACAAAAAACTAACAGAAAAATGCAATAACATTCAATTCATATAATATCATGCATTAAGAATTTAATAAGTGCGAACGCAAGCCTTTTTTAAACATTTCGAGGGATCTATTTTTGATCTCCAAAGGTAAAGAATTCCACAGAGAAACAGATGAAAATTTTGTGGTAAACTTGCCATAATTAGTCCTAGGTTTGGGTAAAAGGAAGTTATTAGCCTTTGCAAAACGAGTCGATGACGCCTGAGGAAACTGACTTGAGTGTAGTAAAGGAATCGGAAGTTTTCCATTCACATATTTGTAAATAAGAATGCCGAGAAAATATTTAGCCAGCTTCTGAACTGATAAAATTCCAGAGTAAGGATGATGCATTGGACATGAAGCCACTGAACGTTATTATTCTCAATGCTTGGTTTTGAAGATGTTGGATGGCTGATAAATGAGTGGCATACGTATTTCCCCATGATGAAATGCAATAGATTATGTTGCTGTGAAAGAAAGCGTAGTAAAGTGACAACAATATTTCAAAACGA